TTCGTTTTGTATATAACATTAATTTATGCAAGTCTTCATATGTTTTTTAAAGGATGGCGATCTTGAAAAATAATTTCCCGATCACGAAACATTGCTGTAATTAGAGCTACAGGTTCTAAATGTTTTGAATAAAAAACGAAAATATCTTAAAAGCCTTATACCTTAGAACTAATTTATGTTCGATAGTAATTGAAAAGTTTATAAGGAATTAATTTTTTTCAGCATTTTTCTTAATTAAGCTGTATTTGTCGTTGATAACTCCGTAAATAGTCTGCATATTCTCATCTCTCTCACCGAATTGTCGCCTATGACGTCAGAGCAGTATTTCGGCGAAATCCGACTGAAATATGCATATTGCCGTATTTGAATTTCAACTCTCCATATCTCTTAAAATATGCTTTCAACAACGTTTATTGTATTCAGTATTTTAATAAATAAGGTTATAGATAATATTTTTCATAAAATTACGATTTTTGAAAGATCATGCGATAAGTCCTTTAGCACACTTCTTTTGACAGAAAAGAAAAGTTTCTTTTTGAAAGTTTTCACAAATCTAGCAACAAAAAAAAAAAAAAAAAAACAAAACGCGTGTAAGTATGACAGACGAAACTAAGAGAGGTTAATTCTGACAATCGAGGTACTACGGAGGTACCAGGTATATCAGAGAAAGAAAATTATTTTGAGCATATAGATTTAAAAAAAAACATTTCACCTCACCATGCTCACGGAAATATATTTGAAAAATGATTTAAATTTTTTTGAAGCGCAAATTTATAAATGTCATTCAACAATTATTTTTGAAACAAAACAGTTTGCACTATAGTTTTGACGTCAAGTGTGGCATTATGTTTAAGTCGTCCAAATACCTCGATAATGAGGTTTGACTGTAGTTGTATATGCCAAAATAGCTCTTCCTAAATTAAACTGTAAAGTTACACATATTACAAGTTCTTAATGAATTAATTTAAGGCCTAATGTGTCCATAATCCTAGATGGACTTTTATCCTTGTGTGACTGTTTAAATTTTACTATGCTGCTTATTCTGCATGTTCTGTTTCATCTCCCAACATGTTCTTCTGGCAAATCATGGTCATGCTTGGTATCAAATTTCACATTCAGTTTTCAGATGACAGTCACACCTATCTAAAAGGAATTTGAAATTTCTCATTTAAGATAAAATAAAAGAAATTGATATTGTGCAACATATAAATAATAAACCATCATTTTGAGTACAAAGATACTGTCACATTTTCTGTGCATTATTTGGTAAAGTACTGTTTTTTTGTTTTTTTTTTTTACATGCATTCATTTGAGGATGTAATAAAAATAAAATAAAAAGATGAACATAAAATATTTTTTCATGATTTCACATAAAGAAATGCACATATAATGTAACTTGCAGTACATGTATAAAATTTATTAATGATGGCAATGGTTAATAGACTAATTGGTTAGAAAGATGGTAATCTGTTATGATTTTCATATATATATTTTTCAAATATGACTGTCAAAACAAGTCCCATTTATTTAGTCATGATAATCCAATTATTATTCAAAAGTTAACAAATTAACCCCCGTCATAAAAAAATTGACCTATATTTTCTGTTTCAATTGATGAGTTTAAAACAACAACTTTTTTTCTACTAAGCAATGGTTTACATGGTATTTAATCTAGTTCGTTGCCTGTCATGGTAGCTTAATTAGTGGTAGGGTGTTTAATTTGTGATGTGGAAGTACCGGGTTTGATTCTCGTTCACTGCATCAAACCTAAGACATAAACATAGTGACTGTTCCTTCACCAAACCTCCAGTATTAGAAGTCAAAGTTACAGGTTTTAAGAACTGAGGCCCCATATCACAGTAGATGTTGGCACGATAAAGAACCCTCATAGTTCAACGGCCTGAGTGCCAAGTTAGGTCTAAATGTATCATTTTCACCGATCCAGACTTTATTATTGAGCTTAGTTTCCGATTCAACTTTACTTTACCGGTCCCCAGATCCGCAAGATCCGCGCGCTCATTGTACCATGACGTAAGATTTACGTCACTCAACTGATTAGGGTTGGTTTTGCACATTTTTCGACTGGTTAGGGTTAGTCTTGCACCCACCTGAAAGATTAGGGTTAGTCCTTGCATAATTTTTCGACTGATTAGGGTTAGTCTCGCATCCATCCGAGAGATTAGGGTTAGTCCTCGCACATGAATTAGTCTAGCAAGGTCTAGCAATGCTTGTAGCATCCGCCTGGGAGATTTGAGTTAGTCCTCGCATAACATCCGAGAGATTAGGGTTAGTGTCTTGTTCTTTTAGATTAATTAAGAAATTCAATTGCATCTGTATTTTTTGCAAGATCTTAATTCAGCTTCAACGACATCTCGTTGGTTTGTTTACATGAAAAAATGGCTAAGTACGAAAGAAACGGCACTAAGCATGCGCCGCACGCGCTTCGTTCACAATTATTTTTTGTCTCCTTTTCACTGAACAGAACAATATTTATTACTTTTTTTCAGAGAACGAGGTTAAAAACTTCGTTTAAAAACGAAGTTTTAAACTAAACTTTTAACTGTAGAATTCGATTTTGGGGTCAAAAGGCTTATAACCTCATATTTTAAATTTTTTTCGATTGCTCACGCGATCTCATATATATTGAAATCGCCTACGGCGACACTATATTTTAGCGCGTTTTTCTGGGGATCGGTAAAGTAAAGCCGTTCCCTATGGCATGTCAAACGTTGCAATATTCGATCTTTTCCATTTGTATTGTATAACTTTCCATTTGTATTGTATAATTTTTATTTGTATTGCATAATTTTTCATTTGTATTGTATAATTTTTCATTTGTATTGTATAATTTTCAATTTGTATTGTATAATTTTTATTTGTATTCTATAATTTTCCATTTGGATTTTATAATTTTCCATTTGGATTGTATAATGTTTATTTGTATTCTATATTTTCCATTTGTGTTGTAAAAAAAAATCGTTTGTATTGTATAATTTTTCATTTGTATTCTATATTTTCCATTTGCATTGTATAATTTCTTATTTGTATTGTATAATTTCTTATTTGTATGCGATAATTTTTCATTTGTATTGTATCCGAGGATTGTTTATTTATTTCGTTACGAAGGATGTCATTGGTCATAAAATTTAGTCTGTATAAAGGTCTCAGGTGCCCATCACAAACTTAGTCTGGTACCCTTCCCACAATTCCGATCGCGCACTCTCTACAAACACAAACTCTATTTGCGGTGCATGCTAAGGGACGACCATTTGATTCTCGGGGGGTGTTGAATCCGATTATTTATTTTCATTCTCTCGCAGGAGAGAATATTTATTTCCAATATGACCAGAGACAAGGAGAAAAACAAAAAGAAGAAAATCCGCCCAAACCCGAAAACTCAGTTTTTTGGGGGTGGGGGTAGTTACCACCACTCAAAGTCAATTTATTTATTTTCTCAGTCAGCATTCCTAAGGACAGATTATTTATTTGCCATCTACCAGCGCTCCCTTTTTAGAATCCAATGACCGTCTAACATGCACGCAAATACATATGCCGCCGAAATATGGCTGAAATATTGCCGACTTGGCGTTAAACAATAATCAATCAATCAATCAAGCAAATACATATGAGCCCAGTTTGTTTTGAACATCCGAAACATCTTCAACCCGATACAGGCTGAAACTTGACCAATGAAATCCTTCGTAACGAAACAAATAAACAGTCCGCGGATACAATACAAATTAAAAATTATCGCATACAAATAAGAAATTTTACAATACAAATAAGAAATTATACAATGCAAATGGAAAATTATACAATACAAATAAAAAATTATACAATACAAATGAAAATTATACAATACAAATAGAAAAATATAGAATACAAATAAAAATTATACAATACAAATGAAAAATTATACAATACAAATAGAAAATTATAGAATACAAATAAAAATTATACAATACAAATGAAAAATTATACAATACAAATAGAAAATTATACAATACAAATAAAAATTATACAATGCAAATGGAAAATTATACAATGCAAATGCAAAAGATCGAATATTGCAACGTTTGACATGTCATAGTTCCCAAAATATATCCATGTTTCATCACCAGTTACAATCTCATTTATTCGCCTTTGGTCACAATCTTCATAAATTGTTAGTAACTGTGAAGCCATTTCTACCCGGATGCGCTTTTGCTCTTCCGAGAGAAGATGCGGCACCCATCTAGCACAGACTTTCCTAAGCTTTAAGTTTTCCTTTAAAATACGAAAAACTGCTGACGAATTAATGTTAGTTAAGTCTGCTATTTCCTCAACTGTATATCTAGCATCATTAGCTATCGTATTTTGAACAGCGACGATTTCTTTTTCGCCATATGCACAAACTGGACGCCTCGAACGGGGGTCATCTTCAATACGCGACTTCCGAGATACGTTTCCGACCCGATTTTTACATCACGCAAAAGTGAAATGTAGGGCATGTTTACTTCCGTTTTCATCGTAAGCGATGGCGTCATTAGATACAGACTGCGATTACGACTATAATTTCAATTCTTGGCAAGTGCCTATGCTGAAAGACCTTTTATCCTTTAAAGGAATAGCTTTTTCAATATATTAAAATCATCATTTGATAAGACTTTGTGAACTGGGAGTTGAAATTCAGAAGTGGCAGATGATTAGGCCTACAGGGTGGTGATGTCAAACTGTTGGAGATAAAGTTTTCCGAAATATAACAAGTGTTGATAGGTGGTCTGAAGATCTCATAAAACTGCCGAACATTGAGATTTCCGATGTTTTCATAAAACTTTTGAACGATGGCTGGAGTACGTTATTCTCGGTTGAAAACATAGACAGAGACAAGACAATGGATACAGACTAAAACAACCACGTTGATAAAGTGAAAGTGTCCCCCCTGTCTGATGATTTTCAGTACATCAAGTGTGACACAGTTCCTGAGACTAGCCAGATGCAGATCAGTACAAGACCTGGATATTTGTTGAGGGCAATGAACAGATTCACTCAGGTGGATGTAGTGTAAATATTCTGGTTTTCACATTATGACTACAGATTCTCCAGTAGAATTTAAAGCAATAATTATCAAAAATGTTATTTCATAAAGATATACTAATGCTTTTTGTTCATAAAAAAACATACACAGAGGGAGCCCTGTCTCAGCCTACAAGCATTTATGATTATGTAAATTGCTCAATACACTATTCATGTCATGGAATTTCATATTCAATACTTCATCACTTTGAACAAAAGTTCTCTTGATTTTAGAGATGATGGGTCGTGTAAGCACTGTACAGCTTCGATATTTGCTGTGGCTTCATTCTGTGAGAGGCACAAAGACTGTCACACTCAAGTCGGAACAGATATTCCATGTGTTTGGGACAATTTTTTAAGCCTCGTGTCATCTCATCTTGTATTGGCCAATTACATAAAACTACAGGACTATACAGGAGAAGAACCTGAAGTTAGCGCTCACCATTCAATAAACAACCCATGCAAGTCCTTGAACAACAACTCTATTAAAGAAATTGAAGAAAAAAAATTGTTTCAACTCCTGTGTTTTTACACAAAATGTGGATTTTTCTGTGAGCAAATACATTATGATCCTTTGAAATTTGAGGAAATAGTACAAAAATGTGAATATCTCTTCGACAAACATTTGAAAGTTGCAATTATGTCTCTCTAAGTATAGCAGAGCAACAAATTTGTAAATGAGATAAGCATGTAATGCATAATAATTTATGGCATTCTTGATTATAACAGTGAGGAAAAACTTAAAACACTTTTGGTCTAAGGTACAGGATTCATTAATATTCATAATTTATTGATGGCAGAATACCTGAACTGATAAATATAAATTAGGAACAAACAATAAAATATTTCAATCATCATGATCATATGATTAAATTCTTTCATAAATAAATACAATATTTACATTACAGTTTGTATCAGACCTGGGGTAATGGTAATGCATTGTAATCATTACATTTTTTCAAAGTAATTGGATGTAATGTGTAATGGACTCATCTTTCAATTACAATTGTAATGTTTATGCATTAATTTAAAAAAAAATGTCAGTAATGACCATTGCCTTTCAATTACATTTTGGTTTTAAATCTCTCTTCATTATTGAATCTGAAACAAATAAAGGTCACTGAGAGGTTATTTTTTTTTTATTTATAATGTTAAAGTCTTAAAATTAAAATCCTATATCTTACTTTAAAAAAAAAAAATGTTTATTCAGTGGTGATTGACAGACATACTACATGTAAATAATTGTTTTAATGGAAAACTTCTTGACAAGACAGTTATAAAATCAATTGAAGAAAGCCAGAATTGTTTTGAAAAAAAAAGAAGAAATCATTGGGTTTCAAAGAAGCCACAAAACAAGTGACATTAATACATTTATTTAAAAAAAAAACGGAGGAACTAACATCAGAGACTGAACAAAACTGCAACATTAAAAGTGTTCCGATCCACTTTCTTTGTCAACTGTAGATCATGGTAGATTGGTAAACTACATGGACATGATAAATGAATACAAAATCCAAATACCACTCTGACTTACAGACATGAGGGAAAGCATATCAACCAAGCACAAAGTGTGAAAAGTATAGATATAAATTGTGTGGTCATAAAATTTGTGTTTTTCTCTTATAAAATGTAATGTGTAATGTAATTCATTACTTAAACAAAGTAATTGTAATTTAATTAATTACTTTTCTAAATGAGGGTAATGGTAATTGTAATGGTAAAAATTTCGAAGTAATTGTAATTTAATGCATTACATTTAAAGTAATTGACCCCAGGTCTGGTATGTTTTAGATGCCTTTATGGAATGAACATTCAGATACATAAAAAAGATCTTATTCTTTTGATTTAATTTACATGTAAGCACTTGTTTCAGATGTCATATTATGTGCATAGCTACTATTCATGATCATAGAGCATTCATGAACACATCTTTGGATAGTACAATTACATGCATCATATATAGATCATTATTCGTTTGTCAAGTGGTGATACAAGAGGGAGTGATTCCAACAAGGCACTTTAATGTGTTATGGCTCTTATAGTTATTGTATGTTTGATGCTGTGCTCTAGGGGTACGTGGCCGCTGAACAAACATCTCTGTTCAGTCGACTACTCTGAACTCTTGTCCAAGGAAAAGCATTCTTGAATGAGTGTGGTATGAATTTCCTTATACTTGTGCTCTTGAAGGCCATTTAATTTGAGGTCCAAATACCTATATAAAATACAGTTACTTAGTAATACTTTTCAAAGTCAAAATACTAATATTCTGTGTGAATTATATTATTTGTGAATCTAAATAAATAAATATATATATATAATATATTTACCAATTACCAGTAATTAATTTATTTAAGGAAATAAACCATTTGTAATATAATAAAAAATTAAGATATATTCATAAAATATTAACAATATTTAGATTTTTATTTGAAACTTAGACAAATTAGTGAACTTGCAGTTTGAATCTAATATTTCTTAGTAACACACCCTATATATGAGATTAATCCATGTGCTAAATATTTGGTATACCTGACTCTCGGCTACCCCAAACAAGTTAGCAAGTAAAGAGGTGTTGACACCACGTCAAATTCTAAGGAGTGTGATCAAGAATTCTTCGAATCTAGTCAGCTTCCTGGATGGCCCTGTTTTTTTTTTTACATTGACCCTTTTCACACTTCTTCTCTGTTGATGTAGAGGTATACATGTATATTCATAGCGGTTGTACTCGCATATGCATGCTGAGGTTTTTCAATGGAGGTGGTTTCTATTTTGGAATCTTGAAATTGTAGCGACTAAATAGGGTAGGGATAGGATTGTTTTCAGTGGGACAGCCATCTACAAAATGTAGGGAACAAACGGAGTGGTATCGTCTAGGGGAAAACTCCTCATCTCGAAAGACCTGCTGAGGCCGCTGCCTTCGTAATTTGAGTTTCCTCTTAAAATTGGACGCCTTGCATCCAAGGATAAGTGGCTCAACTGGCCTCCCGTCTGCTGCACACCCTGACAAAGAACACCAGTAGTGGCTGGGAGTATCTGTGTTCTTCCTTTTTTTCAGACGTCGAATAATTTCGTCTGCTCAATATTTCGTTGCGATGTAAACATTCGCCATTACAATGCCCTACATTTCCTTATTATCACGTGACTGCTGTGTGTAAAAGTCAGCCGTAAACCACGATTCCGGCGTATCTCGAAAGTTCCGTATTGATTTTCTACCATCTTTAAATTGAACTACCCATCTTGCTATTGCTCGATATGAAAGAGCATGCTCTCTATATACTACATCTAAATCGGCTTTTATTTCTGTTGCCGTAAAGCCAAGCATTGAGCGAATTTTGCAATACGCTCTTTGCTCAACAAAAAAATTGTTCTCCTTATCAGTCATTTTTACGCCCAGTATACAGAGTATACCTAATTATGACGTCATTTTAGCAGACCTATACGTCATTTTGAATGTAAAATGACGTCACTACTAATGAATATTTGCCTAAGCTTTACAGTGGTATCAGAGTCATTTTAATCCGTAACGTAGTTAAAATTTTATATACCAGTTGCCAGAACTTTTGAAATGCACCTAGTTCATGAGAAAATGAATTGTTTTCTAACTTGCAATGAATCTGAAGGAAAAATATTTGCAAATGTAAATATTAAATAGTGAATCGCTAAAATTTGTCAAATAAGACAGGGATTTTTTACCCCTTGATTCCAGGGGCCGGGGCCGTCAAGATTGGGAAAAATAGCGATATTTGGTTGAAATTGGGAAAAATATCTTCATACAAATAAATATGAAAAAACAAGCAAAATTCAAATATTTAATCATTTTTCTTATTTTTTTATAGTACGAAGCTGGCTTAAACCAGCTTTAGTGATATGAAATAACAGCGGCTGTTGAAGTTCAGAAGCTTAAAAATGGCAAAGCCGCAGGGTATGATAACATTGTAAATGAACATATTTATACGTTGTCATCTTTTTTACCTTTATGTAAGAAGTTCTTTAAAATAATATTTGATGGTGGGTTTGTTCCAGATGAGTGGTTAATCGGTATTGTTTGACCAATTTATAAGAATAAGAGCGATTCAACCCAGCCTGAAAATTACCGTCCTAAGCAAACTGGAGAGACTGACATGATGCACGTTTATTTTTTAGATAACGATCCCGACTTTAATTTTTAAACATCGATCCCGCTTTAAAAAGTATGCATGCAAACATCCATAGTATTCCGAATAACTTCTCGGAAGTCCTCGGATGGCTCGTACATCGCACATAGAGAACATAAACACCTTTTTGTCATTATTTTATTTTAATAATTTACAACTTAATACTTTTTTTCATATTGGGAATTTTTAGGTATGATTTTGGGAAAAACATGCACTTTTCAGCATTGGGAATGGGGCCGAATTTCGGCCCCGGAGAGACCCTAAAAAATCCCTGCTTAAGATAATAGCAAGGATTTTTATATACGGTATATATTGCAGGTACAAGTTCTCTGAAATAACCTATTCATTCAATGTGTTCAAGTGACCCCCCCCCCCTCCCACTTCCGATTCCAAGTCACAGTGCAGAGAACTCGATGAATGTTCAGAGCATGAACAATTTGGCCCTTGGACCACTGTGCACTGGTTTAGAATGTATATATTTATATTAATATATTTATATAATAACGGAATGAATATTTTGGAGATGGGAAAATAAAAAAAATATGCATATTGTTGTTTTTTTTGTGTACATGATAATTTTATCATTCTGCTCTACGTATAAAATGAGCAACCACCACAAGATTTTCAGAAAAAAATATTTATTAATCCATACGTATTTTCTATAGTTTTTAAACAGATTATGCATATTAAAGGTTCAGGAACAAACCATCAGATTAAAATTTATGAAATCTTTTAATATTTTAGGAAGGGGGGGGGGTATTGAAATGCATGTAGCTTAAAAAAGAATGTGATGACCCCACTTCATATTTTAACCATAAGTCACTTATAATAATTGTTACAAAATACATTAATTTTAGGAAAATTCATTGGGCAATTTTTTTGTCAAGACGTTGAAAACTGCTCTTATGGTGAAAATATTACTGCAAATTTACAATGACTACTCCCCAAAGCAACTGTGGCATTACTACATCTATCAATAGTTTCCTATACAATTTTTATTTTCAATGAATATAAAGCATATTATTTAATATCTGGTGAAAATTATTTAATTTGTTTCAATTTTGATACCTGTATGGCATACTTAAAATTTCACTACATAAATATCAAATTATTGAAAAACGGTGGTTACCATGGCAACCATATCTTTCTTATAACCCTGATGACCATGGTTGACATTTTCATATTATGATACCATTAACGTAAGGCAAAATATATGTAAAAATGAGAAAAATTCATAGAGCGAATTTTTTTCATGGACCCTTGCAATCTCTTCCTTAAGTGGTCAAATTAAGCATAAAAAAAGACCTAACAATCGGTATGAAACACGTCAGCAAAAATACGTCACAATGATAGGTCATATTTGCTAAGAGTGTCATTATGATGACCATGGAATTTACGAAATGCTTACTTAAAAGGAGGTCGCTGAAATCCCTGTAAAATCAACTTATCTTCTAGTAACCTGCCTCAGTTTAAAAACTGATCGCACTCAGAACATTTTCTTGAGTATCGAATAAGTTGGAAGACGTAAACAACATACTGTAGATTCCCAAATATACGCAAAGAATTAATTTTCGCGTAATTTTGCGAAATGCATCACTCGCGAAATAAAATTAATTTTATTTTTATGATGCTGAAATGCATGTAAAATTTCTAGATCAAACGTCAACTTGCGAATTATTGTTCTCGCAATTTGACGTCTAAGG